GTGATTCAATTTGGATGCTATTCTATTAGTTGAAAGCATTATGAAACAAAATGTTTTAAGTAACATCATTCTAAAATAACAAACCTTATCATTTTTTTTTTTTTTTCCAAGACTCACCTCTTTCTCTGATTTCCTATCTATCAACAGCTCTCAGAACAAGAGTCTGGCCAAACTTCTTATGATACCACAGAGTTAACTGCTTTTAACTAAGGCAAGAGTTGTGGCAAAATCAAAATTATCTCTTTGACTGACAATGTGAAGACATCTCTAAAAGAACAACTTGTGAAATAGAATTTAAAGCTGTCGTTTGGCATTATGGTTTGACATTTGTTTGCAGTTACGTTTTTAACTACAATTAAGGGAATCTAGATTTTTGCATGTATATAAGAAATTAGATTCTCATTTTCGTTTGGGTCTAAGAATCTAAAAGTTAACATTTTTAAAATAAATACTCTTAATTGCGAGAGATCCTAATTTGCCTGTTGTGCCAACTCCAGAAGTGTTATTTTTAAACAATATTTCATGAAATTGCAGGGGAGAGTGCTGCAGATAGCCACACCTCCCTCTCAAATAAAGAAAGCAAAGGCAGCATAGCACTGCAGAAAGCTCAAGGCTGGTATGAGCTTGAGCCAGCATTGCTTATGAATTATGTCACTTTAGATGGTCATTTTCTACTTTAGGATCTTGTTTCTTCTAATATTTAGGCAGTTGCATTAGTGTATTACCCCAAAAAATGGGAAGAAAGAACCACTATATCCCCAGAGACTAAAACAATGCCTGACACATAATGGGCACTCAATAAGTATTTGCTGGATAGATGGATGTATGGATGAGAATTTAATCCAAATGAAACCATGATTGCATGATTTAAAATTCAAAAGCTCCCAGTGTTTCTCTCAGGTCCAGAAAGCTTCTGACTTATCAAAAATCAGAGGTGGGAATACAGTCCAAACTCCTAGATTCTAGTGATAATCTTCTTTATTAGATTCTTAGTAAAATCCAAATTTAGGACCTAAATCTGGTTACAGAGTTTCCTGTAACTCTAAAGCATCTTTATCTCTAGAACTGGTTCTGAAGAGGAAATTAGATGTCTATATGATATTAAAAAATGGCTACGTATTTTCAGCTTTTTATAACATGGAGAAACATGGAATATGCATCTAACAATGTTTTATTTCTTATCATTCCTCTAGATTTCTAGCAGAAAGGCTCACAAGAGTCAAAATTGATCCCTTTTAGTTTCTTTCAACACAAGCTTTTTTTTTCATCATCAGTGTCTTAAAATGGTTTTGTATTCCTGAACAATGTGTAAGCTCTTCCATGGGTATAGTATAAGTGTGATTTTTGTTTTTGGAATTGGGATTATCTTTTTCACACATATTATCATCTCTGTTTACATTACTCAATGCCCATTTCATGCTAATCAGGGGAAGTATTTGTATAATCACATATAATTATTCTTTCTGCCTTGTCCCACTAAAGAATCACACAAGAGTCTTAGAGTCTGGGTCAGAGGCTCAACAGGTATCAAAGAAATCTGAAAGTCCTTCTCATTTCTATACTCATAAATGTCAAGCAAACTTACCACTGCAGACTTTAAGTCCATGATTTTTAAAAGAGTTCATTCAAAACACCTTATACTTTGTGGAAATGTCATAGGGAACTTCATAACTCTGAAAATTCAGTGAATAATTATGACTTCATTAACATTGTTTAAATCTTGGCCTACTATATTTTAGCATCTATAATCTACTAGACTTTCAGGTTTTGTTCTAAAAGGAAACATATAACAGCAGTGGTGTTTTGCACTCGGTCCATGAGAGGAATATATATGGAATGGATTCCACTTTTGGTTGTATCTAAATTATAGTTGTCTCCAGAGAGACTGAAATTTGAGCATCTCAAATACTCAGCAACACCCATTTTACAATAAAGGTAACTTCTAGTGTACTGACAGGCACCCATCTGGAAATGCTTGTTGGAATTTTCTAATCAGTAAGACCTCTTTTCAAATAGGAAACCAGGCTTAAGAAATAAAATGGACCAAATTGCCAAGACTGTGCTGTCTGCTACCTCTAACAAGTGCATGGCCAGCCACATCCATTCTGTATACTAGTGTTTTAAAAACCAGGTCAAGTGCTACTCAGTTTCCATCAACTGCTGTTCCTTATTTGATTAGGTTTACTATTATAAGATTCTAATCTCATACCTAAAGTTGTATAATACCACTTGAAGATAGACTGTGGCATTAGTTTTCTATTGCTGCTATAACAAAGTGCCCCAAATTTAGTGGCTTAAAACATCACAAATTTATTACCTTACAGTTTTGCAGGTCAGAAGTCCAAACGAGTGTTAAGGGACTAAAATCAAGGTGTCACTAGGGCTGGTTCTTTCAGGAAGTTCCAGGGGAAAGCCCCTTCCTTGCTTCTTCCAGCTTTAAGAGGCTTCTGGCACTCTTTGCATCCTAGCCGCATGAATCCAATCTCTGCTTCCTTTGTCACATCATCATCTTCCCCCACATTAATGCTCTCGCCTCTCTCATAAAGGCCTTGGTAATTACATTTAGGGCACAACCAAATAACCCAAGATAATCTCCCCATCTCAAGACTCTTAACTTGAATCACATCTGCAAAGTCCCTTTTGCCATATAAAGTAACATACAGACTCTGTAGATTAGGGCATGGATATCTTTGAAGGCAATTACTTAGTCTACTACAACTGTGATAAGTTAAAGATGGCCCTTATTAATCCTATAGCAACCACTAAAATAAAACTAAACAAAAGATTTATAATAATAAAAGTGCTAGATTTTGTATATATTCTTCTGGGGTGAGGGTTTGTAGCTTTCAGTTAAAAACAAACGAACAAACAAAAACCAAAGACAAAGGGAGAAAGGAGAGGACCTGGGAATTTAAAAGAAGTTAAGGTTACATGTGTGAGGGAGGTTGAATAAAACCCTTACTTATAGCCTATAAGATACCCTTCTGGAGGGACAGGGAGCACTTAAGAAAACTTCATTTAAAATAGATAAAGAGGGGCACCTGGGTGGCTCAGTCGGTTAGCCGCGCATCGGGCTCCTTGCTCAGCAGGGAGTCTGCTTCTCCCTCCCTCTGCCTCTTCCCAGCTTGTGCGCCCTCTTGTGCTCTTGACCTCTTGCGCTCGCTCTCGCTCTCTCTCTCTCTCTCAAATAAATAAATAAATCAATCTTAAATAGAGTTAGACAAAGAGATACAGACATATATTATTTATTTCACAGAAGAAATAACACGTAAGCAACTTGCACATAACTTTGGTTACAACTAAGCTTTTCCTCCAACAATGCTCTTCACTTTTTTAAATATTTAGTTTGAAATAATTACAGAAAAGTTACAAAGACAGTAAAGAGAGAGTTTATGTTTCTCTTTGGCCCATTTTTAATAACAATGACACATCTGTAAAAACTAAGAAATTAACATTGGTATAATACAATCAACTAAACTACAGACCTTATTCAGATTTCAGTAGTTTTCCACTCATATCTTTTTCCTGTTCTTTCACTTGAGTTTTGTTCTCTGCATCCTTCCCACTTTTTGTCCAGCTCACTGATGAATTTTAAAATTTTTTTTGTAAGTTAAAAAAATGTTTACTTATTTTCAGTAGGAGAGTTGTCAAAGTACCTAGTCCAATACACTTCTGGAAGAGAAGTCTGGGGAGTTTTATTTTTTTTAAAAATAAGTTTCCCTCAAATGATATTTATAATCCTGGTTACCAAGTCCAACGTGTCTTCTTATGCTTGTGTCCTTAAATTTTTCTAGCCTAGAAATGTAGGCATTATTTTTATTATGGTAAAAAAATATTTAATAATATTTTAAGAGTGAGACTAGAAAAGAAATCAAGAGATAGATTGAGAGTCTATTTTAATACTATAGGTGGGAGAAAAAGTCAAGAGCCTTAACAAGGCTGTTGGTAGAGGGAAAGGAAGAGAGGAAATAATTTGGAGTTCACTCAGGAAGCAAAATAATAGAATTTGGTATTGAATGGATGTGGTAGGACAAGGAGAAGAAAGAGTCAGAGAAAACTCAGGGATTTCAAACCAAAGATTTTGACTCTTGAAGATTTTCAGATGTCAAAAGGAAAAGCAAGATTGCAGAAGATGATAGTGAATTTGTTTTTTAATGGATCTGGTATTAATGGTTCTTTAGGGTGGAGATGTCTAACAGGCAGTTATAATTGAAAGCCACAATTTTGAGAAAGGAGTCCGAGCTAAAAGGAACAGGGTGGTGATAGAAAACAAGAGATTAGAAAGAGGAATAAGCAATGTAGAAGAATTACCTACACAGAAACTAAGGAAGGACGCGGTGATTACAGAAGAGGGAAGGAGGCCTGATCAACAAGTGTGCTTTTGCCACTACTTGTGATATTCAAAGGCTTAATTTCAGTACCCCTTTGAGATGCTCTTATGAATCTTCTGCACTTACCTCCACCCAGAGGATTACAAACTAAACTTTAAGATCCATTTATGTGGATTAAACTATTAAAATGTTCTTTGTGTTTTCTTTTCAATTTTCTAATATGTTTTGTACTATACCATACTTGAGACATTACCTTCTACTTAATTTGGTTTGTTCCTATCAGTACTTGAGACAAGTAAAAGAAAAATCTAGCCAGAACCACAAATGTGTTGATTTTATGGCATATCCCAACATATTTTCCCTTTTTTTAGGAAAAAAATATTGTCTAGTGTTAGAATTTAGTCATAAACTTTGGAACCATAATGTGTAATGTTTTATGATATTTATGACTCCACATATGTTGTTACTATTTCATGCAAAAGTAATACTTACCTTGTATGTAGTGTTTGTAAATTGCTGTTAATGGTAAAAGTAGTATCTAGTGGCAGTATATATATTGCTAAAGAGAAGAAACAGACTAAGTTGTGAAATACTATTCTCTGAGCCAGGAACTGCAATTTAGGAAGAGTATCAGGGTCTTGACTCATTTGTTGGGTTTATGGTTTTCAGGGAATTAATGCTGATTTCACATCAGAAAAGCATCGAACAGCTGCAGGAAACCCTTAGACAGAAGCTGCTGAACGATGATAACTGGAGAGAGAAGGTAATGATAATGTAGCTTTCATCAGCATGTGTCTTATTTGCTTTTTAAAAATTCTATCTGTTTGGGGCGCCTGGGTGGCTCAGTCGGTTAAGCGCCTGCCTTCAGCTCAGGTCATGATCCCAGGGTCCTGGGATTGGGCCCCACACTGGGCTCCCTGCTCAGCCAGGAGCCTGCTTCTCCCTCTCCCTCTGCTTGCCGCTCTCCCTGCTTGTGCTCACTCACTCTCTCTGTCAAATAAATAAATAAAATCTTAAAAAAAAAATTATATCTGTTTGCCAGGAGACTATTCCAGATATCTTGGCTTCTATGCACATTTTGATTCCTTCTGGAATTTCCTAGACCAAACATGCTTATAGTGTGTGTCTTTACCAAAATATTATACAACATAATGGGAAATAAAAAGGTAAGAACAGAATTTAAAATCTTGTAAAATTAAGATAGACCTTAGTTCTCATGTAAAAGTATAGTTTTTATTTTTAAGTATTTACCTTTTTCCTGTAAAGGGACAGAATCTGCATTTGACTACATTCTTAAAAGCAGGGGAATATTTATTTATTCTCACAATTTTTCTGCTTTTAAGAAGATACTACAAGAGAATGTAAAATGACAAAATTACTCAGTTATGAACTTTTGGCAAAGTAAAATGAATAAGTATTTAGCTCACTGTTTACAAAGAAAATATTTTCTCTTACAGTACTGAAAAATGCATTAATTTTTGTCTTTGGATTTTTCTAAATCTTTCAAAGTTTCAATAATAAAGATGTATTACTTGCATAATTTTAAAGGATACAAATAATATTCTCAAAATTATTGGTCCCTACCTTCTCGGGCCTTGTACATCTCTAGTCATTGAGGCTGCAACCCATCATTTCCCTGTCATAAACTTCTGATACTCCTTGATTGATCCCTGGGCCTTAACCTGAACAATTCCCTGAAGGCTTTCCAACTCTTTCTCTTGCCCAGCTGATGCCTGCCCTAGCATTAGCCTTCATCCTTGGTTTTCTGTTAACATTGTAAATTTGCATCTAGAGATAGAGCTGGCTACTGAAATTCAGATTGCTTGACTAAAGTCCTGACAACCTGTTTGGTTATTATCAGATTCTTCTCCATGATGACTAGACCCTATAACTTGTAACCTCAAGCAACAAGCAGTGGCCATGTCAAATTAACATCACCTGGACTCTTCCACCCTACCATCCACCAAATTGAAACCCTTTAGATATTGTTGCTGGCTCAGGTCAGTTCTAAATTTTTCACTTTCATTTCCATTCTTTACTCAGTTGGCCATACTCAGGCATTAATGGCTCTCTATAAAGCAATCCCACTTTCCTTGTCCCTCAGGGATAGCACATTCAGGCTGTAAGAGAAATGATCACTATAACAACAGTTCCATAGAGGCAACAATTAAACATTGAGAATACAGACTAAAGTTGCTCTAAGTGGTTCATTCTTATTTTGTTTTATTTTGAAGTATGGATTTTTTCTTTTCCTTCTTCTCTAAAGCCTGCATTTCTTTAATTCTTTCTAATTTTTATTAGCTTTGGGGTATTCACTTGGCTAGTCTATTCTTATTCACTTCCTCCATCCTTACCAATCCATGTTTGAAAATACAAAAAAGATGATCAACCTAACCAGCAATCCAAAAAGTGCAAATTAAAACAATGAGATTATTTTTTTAACCCCTCCAGTTAACAGAGTGGTTTTGGCATTGTGGTAAGTTCTTGTGAGATAATCTTTCATACTCACTCTTTAAGGGGCTGGAAGTAACAACAACCCTTTGGAGAGCAATTTGGAAGTATGTAATGAAGAGATATTGTAAACATTTCATCTTTTGATGCAGAAATTTCACTGATGGAATTAATGTGAATAGAGATTCACAGATTCTTCCCTTCCTTCAAACACCTGAGCTCCTCTTAGACTGGTAGAGTGAACTTTCCTGCCTTTGCTGTGTAGAAGTTCTTTATCTTCATGGTCACACCCCATGAAGGACTTCCAGATACAATCTACTGGAAAAGTCTCTGCATTTACAATTTACTCTATTACTGCTGCTTACTGTACCCTGTCTGTGAGGCGCTAACACAGCAAGTGGACCAAGTTAATGTTAGCATTTGATCATATAAAAGCATTATGGTCTTGCTTCATGCTGTTAATTTGATGATGAAAATAAACCTAAGTAAGATTTTCTAAGTTCTTGCTAAGACCATGATATCATTCCAATAAATTAATTATATCATAGATGTATTTTGGCATGTATAATTTTCTATGATATAAATGGGCACTTCATTTTGTTGAGAGGACATGACTTCTTATTAATAAATCTTATCATTTAGCTTAGCAGTAAATCAAGATCCAGACCAGTAAAGCCAAGGAATGATAATTATGTCTTGGCTGTGCTAGTTATTGAGACTATGAATAAAAAGTTCCCTAAAAGTCCTCTCATGAGAAAGGAAAATCACTAATATGACACTGTCATCTCTTTCTTGGGTCACTGTGCCTTTGTGTAGGAATGAAATGTTCCCTTTACAAATATATAATACACATATTAGAATAAACTTCGTAACTTAAATGCTTTTAACATTCAAAAAAAGTGGATAGCAATTTGTGCCCGTACTTAATTATTTTAGAGTACGTAAAAAGCACATAATAGAATCAATAGTTGCTATGCAACAGGATGGCACATTTTAAAATAAACTGCATATTTACTAATTGCCATGGATTTTTATTTATTTCAAGTATTCCTTTGATGTGAAAAAAATAAATTAATGTGCATACTGAACATTTAAAATTGGTCCCAAATACACATGTTGTTGCTTTTCAGTTAAAATTTTTGTAATTATAGAATTTCCTATAGCCAGACTGCTGACATTAAGTGTTGAGTATTACTTGGTAGTGAGATAAACAAATTCCAACCAAATATTTTGTTAGATTATTATTAAGATATCCTATTTAGGAACATTTTAGAATTGTACTACTATTGACCTCATTTTAAATAGTACATAGAACGTTTAAAAACCAATAGTTAAAACAAACAAACAAACTGAACATTACTTCCTGGCTGAGCAACTGGATTAATAGTGAAAATGCAGGGGGGCAAGGGTAGTTGGAGTTTACCTCAAGAAATAGTCTATTCCAGCACCAAAGGGAAGCAAACAGAACATCTAAAATTCTTCAAAATAGAAGAGCCAAATGGCTGAATAATTCCTAATGTGTTTAAGTGTACTATTAATGGAATTTAGAAGGATAACTTGTAAAATAACAGAATTTGACAGGGATGAATTGTCATAAAATATAAATTTTCATTTATGCATATAAATGCATGGCTAAAAAGAATATTGAGAGCACACTTTAATTTATAAAATTATAATGTAATTTTCAAAATTGAACTAATAAAATCACAACATTTTAGATCTAGAATAGCCTGCAAATATCATCTGATTTAAACCCTTAATCAAGATAATAAGAATAGTCTCCATTATTAGTGTTTATTATATACCAGGCCTTGTGCTTAATGCTTTCCATAAATGTAATTTTAATTATTATAAAATTATTATTCCCATTTGCACATGGAAAAAAATAAGGCTCAGGGAAGTTAGGTAAATTGCCAAAGTTATATAGCCAGGAAATAACAACTGATACAAACCTGGAAAAAGAAGGAGAGCTAACTACAAAATCCAAAACTTCTGCATTTGGCCTAGATGGACGAATAGGAGCCAGATTTACCCTCTCTCCTAACTAACTAAGCCACTGGAGAAAAGATAGAAAACAATGGTTTCCAGACACTAGATATCAGACTACAAAGGATAGTGATTCTTAGAGATAGGAGACAAATGGGGTAAACTCTGTGATTGCCCAAACTTAGTTCCTTGAAATAAATTTAAGGCCACAGTGCAGGAAGTGTGAATCTAGGTAGTTTGGCAGGTTCTTTGAGTTAAGGAGACTAGAGAGATCAAGATAGCTATAATTCACAGGATGGTGTTCTCAGGGGAGAGCTGCACACAGAAAGAATGCTGGAGATCTACAAAGAGTCCCCATTAAGTATATGTATGGTCAGTGCATATGTGTGGGGAAACTACCCAAAGGCAGGGAAAGACCCATCTGAAAGGACTAGAGAGGAATACCATGTGCTCACACAAGGCCAGACTGGAAGACCTATAATTCACAGGGCACTGGGTAGATACTTCTCAGAAGGTTCTTGCATCAGTAGTAGGAAAACATTAGCCCTAGACTAAATGCTGAGCTGACTCTGCCTAACAAATTTTAAAAGGAAGAACTATAAAAATCAAGCTGACTCAAAGAAACTTAACAACATCCCAGAAGAGAGTTCAATAATACTCATAGGAATATAAAAATATCCAGCATCTAACAAGGTAAAATTTACAATGCCTGGCATTCAATCAAACCTTGCCATCCAAAAGGAAAAGGAAAACAAGGCTCATGATGAGAGAAAAATCAATGAATAAAAACTGACTCAGAAAGGCACAGATATTAGAATTAGCAGACAAAGACGTTAAAACAGTTGCGATAACTGTATTCCATTTGCCCAAAAACTAGAGGAAGAGGTGAGCATGTTAAGTAGAGATATGTATTATATAAAAAAGATCTAAAGTGAACTTCTGAGATGAAAAGTACAATATCTAAGATAAAAAGTACACTGGATGGGATTAGTGGCAGATTAGACATTCCAGAAGAAATGTTTAGTGAACTTGAAGACACACAACTGAAACAATCCAAATGAAATAAAAATAGGAGACTCAAAACAAACAAGAACATCAGTGAGCTATGAGACAAATTCAAGTGGACTAATATATGCCTAATTAGAATCCCCAAAGGACAGGAGAGAGAAGAAATGACAGAAAAAATATTTGAAGAAATAATGGCTGAAAAAAATTAAGATTTAATGAAAACTATAAACCACACATTCAAGAAGCTCAACAAACCTCAAGCACACCAAGGAGCATTCTAATCTAATTGCTCAAAAATAGTGATAGAAAGAAAATCTTAAAAGTAACCAGAAGATAACAGACATATAAAGAGGAACAAAAATAAGGATGACAGCAGATTTTTCATCAAAGACCGTATAAGTGGGGCACCTGGGTGACTCAGTTAAGTGTCCAACTCTTGACTTTGGCTCAGGTCATTATTTCAGGGTTGTGAGATTAAGCCCCGCATTGGGCTCCATGCTGCGTGTGGAGCCTGCTTAAGTAGCTCCGCTCAGCACAGAGTCTACTGGAGGATTCTCAGTCTCTCTCTCCCTCTGACCCTACCCCGCCAGCACTCTCTCTCTCTCTCTGTCTCTCTCAAATAAATTAATAAATAAATTTTTAAAAAGAAGGGTAAATTTCAAAACAAAGATCAGAATATTTAGAATATTAGCAGGGGTAATGAACATCATTTCATAATGTTTAAGGGATCAGTTCACCAAGAGGACATAAATAATCCTAAATGTTTATTCACCTAATAACAGGGTTTTAAAATTGATAGACCAGCAAGGAGAAATAGACAAATCCGTAATTAGAGTAAAAGATGTCAATAATAGCCCTTTCTCAATAATAATTGATAGAAAAATACCTAGAAAATTAGTAGAGATATATTCTGTGGAAAATAATAGTTTTTTAGAACAACTTATTTTTAAGAAATATATTGGACAACACTATTAACTAACATGACCTAATTGATATTTATAAAATTCTCCATTTAACAGCAGAATAAAGATTCTTCTCAAGTGCACATGGGACATTTACTAAAATAGATCATATTCTGGAGCATAAGTAACTCTCAATAAATTTGAAAGGATTCAAGACATACAAAGTATTTTTTCTGACCACAGTGAAATTAAAATAGAATTTATTAACAAAAAGTTATCTGGAAAGATCCCCAAATATTTTGAAACTAAATAAATACCAAGTCCATGCCCTTAATCACTATGCTATGTAGATGTGTGAGGAGACAGGCTACATGGAAAAATGAAACATGCTGAGCAGGGAGCCCCACGCGGGGCTCGATCGCAAGACCCTGGGATCATGCCCTAAGCCAAAGGCAGATGCTTAACCGACTGAGCCACCCAGGTGCCCCCTTCCTTTTCCTTCCTTTTTTTCTCTTTACCTACAGTAGTTTGTTCCAAGGAATAGTTTGGGGACAAGAAGGACTTGCTACCTGACTTGCTACTTGACTCGTTCTGTCCATCAGCTACCTCCTTTTCTTCCCTGAATACCTTCTGTGTTTCATCCTCTTCTAGGGACTCCACTGATTTCCTAAATGGCCTCTTCCCCATAATAAATTAAAAAAAATTTTTTTAAGTCCTTCTAAAGTCTTTCTGTCATCTAATTTACAGTTTGTCCTGTCCCATCTAGTCTGCATATATTCTTATTCTCTTAATTCAAGCAATGAAAAGAAATTAAAGGATTCAAGGCATCTTTGGGAGGCAAAGTGAATAGAACTTGGTGTTGGATTAGGTGTGAAGGGTAAAAATGATGTCCCAGTTGCTGACCTGAATAACTAGATGGATTGTGGTTACTGTGTCTTGACTGGGGAAGGAACAGGTGGGGAGGGGATTGTATCTAGGTTTCTGGTTCAGACAGTTTATTTGAGACACCTGTGGTATATCTCAATGGCTAGCAGGGATGGGTAGATGTAAGTACCTGGAATTCAGAAGAACATCTGTGTTTTGGGGTTTTTTTGAGTGCCCCTGAGGCTTCCCTTGCCTTTAGGAGTCCACGAGAACAATACATTTGAGCAATGCTATCATGTTCCTAAATGATCCTTAGCATCCTTTTTCTCAAACAATCCAGAAACTTATTTTGAGAGAGCCAAAATAACTCCTTGAATTGAATATAAATGTAATTGTTTTGCCTTGGAGGAAATGCTTAGTCCTATAACCAGTGCAACAAACTCGACTGACCCCACACTGGGGCTAGTCTTTTATCTGTATTTTATTTAATTTAAAGGACCTTATGTAAACTTTCTTGGCAAATTTTCTGTTTTCTGGCACCCTGGTTTCAGTGTTTCCCTGAGAAATTCATGTTGACCTCTTTCCTCCTCTCAGAGTGATCTGAATCACAGAGTCACAGTAAGTCAAGTTTGACAGTTTTTCTCCCAAGTTATCTGGCATTTACTCCCTCTAAGAACTTATAATCATGGCACAATGTAAATCTAGAGCCAGCCTGTCATTGAGATTCTCTCATCTCGCTAGATGAACCAGGCCTGAATGACTCCAGTACTCATAGATTTGTTCTCTCTCTTGCTCTAGTAGGCAGAGCCAAAACCAATGGTTAAAAACCACAGGGAGAGAGATATTGGCTCAACTAAAGGAAAAACTGCCTAATGCTTAGTGCTGTCTGAAAATGGAAATGCTTGCTGGGAAGGAGTGAGTTATGGTTTCTAGTGGTGTTGAGGCACAGGGCAGACAACCGTTTGGTGCAGATTCTGTGGTAGAGACTGAAGAGTCAGAGCATAGAAGTAATCTCCACTGACTATTGAATCTCTGCTCGTGCTAGAGCTTTATACATATGTTTTGTCCCGTTTATCCTCATAACAACTCCCAAGGCAACTAGTTGTAACCCCACCAGGAGAGGTTACAGTCACAATTTAAGATTATACAGCTAGAAGGTGGCAGAGCCAGGGTTTAGAGCCAGGATTTAAACTCAGCTTCCTCTGAATCCAAAGCCCTTGCTTATTCTTTCCACAGTTCACGGAAGCTTAAGAAATGGAACCAGGGGATTTCTAAGGTCCCTTGCAGTGCTGTGGTTCTGTAGAAGTACAACATGGATACAGGCATCACTGACTTGACTGTGTTTTCCTTAATCATCCTTCTGGCCTCAGTCACATTAAAATGATAACCTGTGACTCCAAAACTTTCTGGGATCTCCATCAAGCAAAGACCATTAAAAAAAAATCAACATTTGTACTTTGTATCCCCTCTGAGCGTTCAACAGAACGTAGTCTAAAGGCCTCAGAATCTTTTTTATTTTTTTCTTATAGGGTTTCTGGGAAGGACTGAGTTTATAATACACATATACAGAAGATGAAGCTTTTAATATTTCTGAAAACTGTCGTAAGATATTGTCCTAACTTCTCCACACATTTTACAAGTCTTAGAAGGTCTTAGAAGATCTTGAAATATTTGACCCAAGGTCAATTTTTCTGGCCTAAGTTCTGAGTCAGATTATTTTTAAACATTAGAATTAAAAAGTTAGATTCATTAAAAAATAAATATTAGAATTAATTTTTTAAAAAATTAGAGTCTGAAAATAAGCTTAATTTACTCATCTTAAGGTCAAATGGCTTTGTATGTGTGTTAAATGCTGTTTTCTAGATTGAAGCTGAGCTGGCCAAGGAAAGAGCTCGACATTTAGTTGAATTTGAGGAGCAAGCTCTGCTTTTTAAGGAAGAAGCTAGGCTAGAACTTGATATTGAAAAGGAAAAACACCAAGAAATAATCCAAAAGTATAAGAAAGAACAAGAGGAACTACAAACGAAGGTCTGTCATCATGATGTTCATTATTATTTAATGGGTTTGAAACTATAGATGTTGGTTATTTCCTTCTAAGAACACTGTACAGTATTTTTAACTCAAGCAGCTTTCCTCAGGGTCATTGTGCGTTGGTTTTAGCGACATGGGTGGAGTGGTTTAGATCGTTTCCAGAATTAATAGCTGAGATAAATCATATAAGCATACAATACAGCTATGTATGGAATTTTTTTCTACTAAAATAAACTTTTTTAAAAGATTTTATTTATTTAAGAGAGAAAGAGTGAGAGAGAGAGAGAGCACAAATGGGGGCGTGGGGGGAGAAGAAGGCTCCCCACTGAGCAGGGAGCCAGATAACACTAGGGGCTGGATCCTAGGACCCTGGGATCATGACCTGAGCCAGAAGTCAGACGCTTAACTGACAGAGACACTCAGGTGCCCCAAAATAAACCTATTTTTTAAAACAGCATAATTAGGGGCATTTGGGTGGCTCAGTCAGTTAAGCATCTGACTTCAGCTCAGGTCATGATCTTGGGGTCCTGGGATCCAGCCCCAGGTTTGGCTCAGTTCTCAATGGAGAGTCTGTTTCTCCCTCCGCCTCTATGCCTCCACCACCCTCATGCTCCCTCTCTCAAATAAATAAAATCTTTAAAATAAATAAAAATAAAAGAGCATAAATTATATAACTAATAATTAGCATGGTTAGCTATTTTACCAACAACTAAAGCCTATCTCCTTTAATTGCAAGTATTTCCAATTCTAGATATTTTTTGAATGAAGGGAAATATTTTAAAAATGTAATCTACCTCCATAATTTCTGAAACAGTATGTCCTAAACATAATTTTTTTAAAGATTTCATTTTTAATCTCTACACTCAACATGGGGCTCAAACTCACAGCCCTGAGATCAAGTCACATGCTTTTCCAACTGAGCCATCTGGGGGCCCCCTAAACATAATCTAAGGTTTTGTTTAGGTTGCCTGTTACTATAAGACCTGAGTGTCATATATATGCATGTTTTTGTGTACACGTATATATTTGCGTTTGTGTATATGTATATGTGTGTGTATATTAACCAAGATTCAGTGGGGAAATCATACTTCGAATAAACTCACTAACAGTCTATGTAAATGAAGTATCAGATGAGACTTAATGGCCTCTACTTTGGTGTACAGGAGATATGGTACAGCCTTTTCAATAGCACTGTCAACGATAGGCAGGGCCAGCTACATGATTATGTGACAAGTACGATATCACAGGGTCCCACACTCAAAAAGGCTTCGTACTACTTGGGTGTAATGCTCTGCAAATGTTGTCTTGAAATTCCTAGTAAGTTTACCTTTGAATTTGTGTTTTGTAAGTAAAGTTCTATTGGGACAGTGGTGCACTTGCTGGGAGCTTGAAGTCTCAGCTCACCCAAATTTCTACCTCTCCTAGACTAGTTTGCTCTGAGAAGAGGCCTCTTAAGGCAGATCCCAACTTGCCAGGGGTTATGGTTTTTCAAAGTAAGTCATAAAAACAGATTTTGTAAGTGAATTCTCTTGATTTTTAAAAGCTGACTCCCTTTTTGAAGAGATCAAAACATATCTGTGTCTATGTGAGTCTCCTGTCCCGAGGATAATCTGGTCTGTTTCAGTGTTGACTCGCCTCTGGATGATGGAAACTACTGCTCAGACCTAGCAATGACCCTCTTCCTTCCTGGATTAATTGAATATAATGGAATGTTAATTTAATTTTTAAAGTTACTAAGTGTGAATAGATTTCGTGCAGAAGTTATTCTTAATGTAAATTTAACATTTGAAACAAATTTTGGATATATAACTCTTAAGTAATAGTTCACAAAATCCTTGGAACTTTGGTCTATGAATGTTTTCCAGATTCTTCATGGACTGGTTTCTTGTTATACTAATATTTATAATATGACGATATCCATAGCATAAATAATAAGGATATGTTTCATCAGAAGCAGCTTTGCTCTTCCTGGTTTGTTTTCTTTTCTTTGTGTTGTTTTTTAAGGAGAAAGAAAACAAGCAGCCTTTTCCCTTCTAAAGACTCCCAGGACTCTCAGCCAAAGCTGCTCATCTTCTCTCATCTCTTTATCTCTCATTCTCTCACCTTTTTATCTAGAGGTACCACCTACAGAGACAGTATATTTTCAAAGTGTTCTGGTATTCTCTAGAATTGCACAGTCTAATATGTTAGCCATGTATGGTGACTTTAATTTCAATTAATTAAAATTAAATAAAATTTAAAATTCAGTTCATCAGTCACATTAGCCACACTTTTAATGCTCACTAGCCAGTCCTGGCAAGCCAGAGCCTATTGAGTGCATCTCTTTCCAACTCAGCAATTGGTGATGTCACCTTGGAATCGGCCAGGGTGAGAATATTTACACCATCGAGACTAGATACAAATCTGGCTTTTGTGTGTATATGAGTCAGTTGCTAAACATTTATTGACACACTACTGTCAGTAGGCACATGTGGCTAATGGCTACCATATTGGGTATCACAGAGTATCTCTATCATCTGTTGGGTAGTGCTGCTTTCAATGTTGTAGTATCTGGGGTACCTCCAGTCATTGTAATAAGAAAGAAAAAAATATATCAAATGAAAACTTACTGCTATGGTATGAGTAGAATATAACTATGGTGCTCCCCTATATGCACCCCCAAACATCAGGCATTTCTAGGTCCCAAAGCCACCTCATACTGAATCCAGACAGGTACCTGGATCAAGACTTGAGCTGTCCTTGGTAGCTCAGTCCGGACACAGAGATTTATATATTTCCAAGGATGCCCAAGTCATTAATATGCAATTCCATTTAAGGTGGTAAAAATACATTTTAGTCTTAACATTTATTTATTTATTTATTTTAAAGATTTTATTTATTTATTTGACAGAGAGAGACACAGTAAGAGAGGGAATACAAGCAGTGGGAGTGGGAGAGGGAGAAGCAGGCCTCCCGCCGAGCAGGGAGCCCGATGCGGGGCTCGATCCCAGGACCTGGAATCATGACCTGAGCCGAAGGCAGCCGCTTAACGACTGAGCCACCCAGGCGCCCCTAGTCTTAACATTTAAAAAGAAAATCTTGAAGGCCTACATAATATCATAGGATTTGTTTTCATTTGATCAGAAGCGTACACTGATTATTTAGAATAAACCTCTTAGAACCTTAAGAACTCTGTGGTTACCTAGAGATATTGCCTACAAATTAATAGAAGATTTATCTTACAGATATCTGACTTAATCGCAAGCGCTACTAGAGATCTAAGGCTGGAAGTGACCGCTCTTGAAGAAAAACTCCGTGAATCTTATATCCGGTATACTGAAGATTCTGAGTCAAAGGAGAAAGAAATCGAAAACCTTAAAAATGTGGTTGCAGAATTTGAATCCCGCTTGAAGAAGGAAATTGATAGTAATGATTCTGTTTCAGAGGACTTGAGGAAGGAAATGCAGCAGAAGTCAGATGAGCTAGAAAGAGTAATGCTGGCACAAACACAACTGATACAGCAGTTTAACCAGTCCCAGGAACAGGTAGGAAGCAGAGGATGGAGCCCTCACCATTAGTGAAAGAGCACACATTCTTTCCAAAAACGAGACAAGCAGACAAAAACATGAAAGGCAGCTTGGGGTCATGCAAAGAGTTGGGGACTATTAGTCAGGGACTTGGAATTACATCCTGGTTGTGTTCTTACCTAGGCAGTCACTTAACTCTCTGCATCTGGCTTCCTTTTCTATAAAATGAATTCACTGAACTACATAATCTCTGCGGTTTCCTGGCGCACAGTTCTACAATGTTGTAAATGACCATTTAAAACTTCTAAGACTAGGGATCTTTGTATATTTATGTCTTATTTGTTTTGATGTTAAATCTTTGCCAAAGAAACTTTTAGAGCACTTGCCACTTAAGTTCAGAAAATAATTTGGACAATATATTTTATTTTATTTTTAAGATATTTATTTATTTGAGAAAGAGAGAGAGAGAGCATGAGCAGGGGGAGGGGAGAGGGAGGGGCAGAGTGACAGGCAGACTCCCCACTGAGCAGAGAGCCCAGATGTGGGGCTCTATCCCAGGACCCTGAGATCATGACCTGAGCCAAAGGCAGCCGCTTAACTGGCTGAGCCACCTATGAACCCTGGGACAATATATTTTAAAAGTAATTTCTCTTTAGGGCTTTATCTTTCCGTCAACCTAAACTATAAGATAATTTACATGTGTTGGTCTTCTTTCTTATGTATGCATGATTATTTCAGCAATGTTTTTATTTAAACTAGAATGGACTTATTTTGATTTGAATTTTCTTTTCTAATAAAGTCTTATTTCTGAACTACTAAGCAGTTTAGGGCACACAGCATGGAGGAGATTCATATTTGAATCTCCATGATACGATGTTTCCTATTTCAGGAAACCTGAATTCTAGTGATTCTGCTTCTAAATTTCAAAGAGACCCTCAGGCTTAGCACTCAACATCTCCAGGCTTCCTTTCCTTTCCTTTTCTTTCTTTCTTTCCTTCCCTCTCTCTTTCTTTCTTTCTCTCTCTCTTCTTTCTCTTCTTTTTCTTTCTTTCTTTCTTTTCTTTCTCTCTCTTCTTTCTTTTCTTTTCTTCCTTCCTTCCTTCCTCCCTCCCTCCCTCTTTCTTTCTTTCTTTCTTTCTTTCTTTCTTTCTTTCTTTCTTTCTTTCTCTCTCTTCTTTCTCTTCTTTCTTTTCTTTTCTTTTCTTCCTTCCTTCCTTCCTTTCTTTCCTTCCTTCCTCCCTCCCTCCCTTTCTTTCTTTCTTTCTTTCTTTCTTTCTCTCTCTTCTTTCTCTTCTTTCTTTTCTTTTCTTTTCTTCCCTCCTTCCTTCCTTCTTTCTTTCCTTCCTTCCTCCCTCCCTCCCTCCCTCCCTCTCTCCCTCCCTTTCTTTCTTTCTTTCTTTCTTTCTTTCTTTCTTTCTTTCTCTTCTTTCTTTTCTTTTCTTTTCTTTTCTTTCTTCCTTCCTTCTTTCCTTCCTTCCTCCCTCCCTCCCTCCCTCTCTTTCTTTCTTTCTTTCTTTCTTTCTTTCTCTCTCTCTTCTTTCTCTTCTTTCTTTTCTTTTCTTTCTTCCTTCCTTCCTTCCTTCCTTCTTTCCTTCCTTCCTCCCTCCCTCCCTCCCTCCCTCCCTCCCTCTCTCTCTCTCTTTCTTTCTTTCTTTCTTTCTTTCTTTCTTTCTTTCTCTCTCTCTCTCTCTCTCTCTTTCTTTCGTTACTCCTTCCTTCCTTTTAAAATAACACTAAGCACACTACTCACCTCTCCAGATATTTAGGGGGTCAGCTGAGTGTCTCCGGCAGACACACTGCAGCACAGCCTCCCTGATAAAGTGAGCTGCTTCACAGGCCAGGCAGGAGGGGGAAGGGAGAGCACACATGGACTCAGTTCCACTGAAGAAACCCTAAGGAGAGAGGCGATGCAGGTTTGCTTCAAATGAGACAGCAGTGGTGAAGCTCTAGAGAAGGGATGGTAGGTTAAAGGAAAGAAAGGTCAAGGCAATTAGACCAGCAGGTTTTCTAACTCTTAAATCACCAAAGAAATGGCAATATGGAAAGTAAGGAGTAACCTATAAACTAGGACAAGCAGAAAAAGATAGAAGGGTTGAATCCAGTAAGTATATACTGAACCTCTATGTAGGGGCCAGGCGCTGTGCTAGGCCCTATCTGTGCAATTATGAACAAGACTGACAACTGCCATTTCCTGCTCTCAAAGAAGAATTTAAAGACAATCTTATGTAATTAAATTGACATCCAGGGGCACCTGGGTGGCTCAGTCGGTTAAGCATCTGACTCTTGATTTCGGCTCAGGTCATGATCTCAGGGTCATGAGATCGAGCCCCACATCAGGCTCTGCATTGAGTGTGGAGCTTGCTTAAGATCCTCTCTCTCCCTCTGCCCCTCCCCCTCTCCCTCTCAAAAAAAAAAAAATTAAATTGACATCCAGAGGAAAGAATGACATAAACAAAAACTTAACATATATTGCATGGAGCACTGGGTGTTATGTGCAAACAACGAATCATGGAACACTACATCAAAAACTAATGATGTACTATATGGTGACTAACATAACATAATAAAATAAAAATTAAAAAATTAACATATAAAAAGCATAGACTAGTCTTAAAAATTGGCCTTAAGGGGCGCCTGGGTGGCTCAGATGGTTAAGTGTCTGCCTTCGGCTCAGGTCATGATCTCAGGGTCCTGGGATCGAGTCCCGCATTGGGCTCCCTGCTCCTTGGGAGCCTGCTTCTCGCTCTGCCTCTCTCTCTCATGACTAAATAAATAAAATCTGTAAAAAAAAAAAAAAAAAATTGGCCTTAAGGACCTGTATTGGTTATCCATTGCCGCCCAATAAATTATCCTCAAATTCAGTGGTTTCAAATAACAAACATGTACTATCTCATAGTTTCTGTGGGTCAGAATGTGGTTTGGCTAAGTACCTCTGGCTTAAAACCTCTCGTGAGGTGGGTGTCAGGGGACTAGGGGTACAGTTTTGCCTAAAGCCTCAACTAGAGGAGGATTTGTTTCCAGGCTCACTTTGTGGTCGTTAGCAGGATTTATTTTATTATGGCTGTTGGGCTGAAAGCCTTAGCACCTTGCTGGCTATTGTCAGAGGACTCCCTCAGTTACTTGCAATAAGAACTTCCCCATAGAACAACTTACACGTGGAGCTGGCTTCCCTCAGAGCAAGCAAGTTAAGAAGACTGAGAGTGCAAGAGAGGGTGTCTAAGACAGAAGCCAGTCTTTAGCCTAATCTCAGAAGTGACATCCCAATGCTTCTGCTAAACTCGATTCATTATAAATGAGCCAGTAAGTTCAGCTCACATTCAAAGCAAAGGGATTGCACAAGGGGGTGAATAAGCAAGAGGGCGGGGATAACTGGGGGCCATTCTAGAGGCTGCCAATCTCAGTGCTGCTGGAGGTAACTTTGGCAAGAGAAACTAGATTAAAAGTGAAGAGTGAATTTCTTTTTCAGACAAACGGAGCTAGATGTGAAGCTCTTCCTGCTCATTAGTTGTAAAAGAAAGCCACTTAGAGATGGAGCTTGTTTGTTTGTTTGTTTGTTTTTTAATGCACACTCTTGAAAAATACAAGACACTGGTTTGGCACATAAACAATCATTGATCATTACTAGGGAATAGAAAGGGATCATTCCAAAAGTAAAGTTGCCTAAGGACATGCCTGGGGACAGACTTCCTTTAGCTGGGGTGGGAGGAAGGGAGGTAGATTAGATTTTCCATTAGAAGTTAAATAATTACCATTGAACTGTAAGAGTAAATAATTAAGGCTCCTTCCCTGGTTAAGCATGCCAAAGTCCAGAATATTCTTATAAAAAGAGGAAATGAGACAATAACAGTGATAGGATGTATGAGCCAGAAAGAATAGAGGTGGTAGCATGTAAAGTGAAAAACACTATTATTTTGATCACACATTCCAGACACTTGAAATTTCTCAGATTCTAGAGAAATAAAGCCACATCTAACTTAAGAACAAATTCTCATTAGAATAAAGATAAATTAATGGTCTAATAAGGAAACTAATTAAGGTCAGGAAAGCCCTATTCTCTTTCAAGGGGTCAGAGAATGGGTGGACTTTGCTTTTAATTGTTTGAAGAATGTTCTCAAGGATAGGAGGAAAGCCAGAACCTCTAAAGGGCAAATGGGCATTCCTTCATGGAGCAAGGATTATTGGAGAGTGTCCACAGAGACAACGAGGGTAAAGAAGGTGAAGCAACAAGAGGTGCAGGTGAATAAGAGGAGAAAATAGAATGTAAAACTGAATGGGAAATGTGAATGAGAAAAGAAGGCCCATGAAAATTCTTCTTAGGGAGAAGACATACATTAAAAAAATTGAAATATATTTTTTAAGGTTTTATTTATTTGACAGAGAGAGAGAGAGCACAAGCAGGGGGAGCGGCAGGCAGAGGGAGAAGCAGGCTCCCCACTGAGCTAGAAGCCCGATGTGGGACTCGATCCTAAGACCCTGGGATCATGACCTGAGCTGAAGGTAGATTCTTAACTGACTGAGCCACCCAGGCGTCCCTGAAATATTTTTTTAAAAGAAGAAAGAAGGGGCGCCTGGGTGACTCAGTCGTTAAGCGGCTGCCTTCGGCTCAGGTCATGATTCCAGGTCCTGGGATCGAGCCCCGCATCGGGCTCCCTGCTCTGCGGGAAGTCTGCTTCTCCCTCTCCCACTCCCCTGCGTTCCCTCTCTCGCTGTGTCTCTCTCTCTGTCAAATAAATAAATAAAATCTTTAAAAAAAAAAAGAAGAAGAAAGAAGTCAGAAAGAAACCTAATATGTTAGAGAACAGAACATCATCATTTAAAACTAGGTTAAAGTAGATTCACCTGCTTCTTGCTACCAGTTTTCCTTCCTACTAGCTTCATATGAGTTCTGTCAAGACAGTGTGGCCAGGCCCCACTGTCAGGGGTCTTGTTGTAATCCAGAGGAATAATGTGGTAAACCGCGCCCCCCCCCCAAAAAAAAAAGAAAGAGAGAGAGAGAGAGAGTTCACATACAACCACCA